CTATATAAATAAAATTGAATTGAATTGAACCCAACCATAACCCAAACATGACCCAAACATGACCCAAACATGACCCAAACCCTGTTACTGTGATGTACAGCACAGTCAGAGACGGAAAAAAATGTTTGGTGTCAGCAATGAATTTAATTTCAGCTTTACTGATGAAATTTAAATTTCATGAAATTGAAATCTGTCCAATGTCTCACATATATTAGCTTGAGATCTACGATTATTTTAGTGAGTGGTTAAGAGTGATATTTTACATGTGGCAACAAATCTGTCTTTCTGCTAATACTTCATTTTAAATGTAAAAGCAAATAATTCACATTTATCTGGTGTAATAAACTCAGCGACTGCATTTTCAGCCGATAGTGAAATGTAAATTTGTCCACGACCTGTGCCGCGTTTCCTTTGTAACAATTATAAAAATAATTTCAGTATAGTCTGAGTATTTTCCATCAGATTCACAAGCCGACGGTTCAAAGCTGCACACACGCACCCACACATGCAGATACAGTCTGAGTCGCCATGTTCAGTTTGCTATTAAGAGGAGTGCTGGGCCAAGAGAGCCCTTGACTCTGACAGGCTCTCCATCTCCTGCCCACACACACACACACACACACACACACACACACACACACACACACACACACACACACTCTCTCTCTCTCTCCTGACCATCAGGCAGAATGACTTGGATAAGTGTATAATTATGGGATGTTTATGACTGTGTTCCATCAGTTGGTGACAGTTTTACAGTTTTTGAGAGCAAACAGAAATATTTTGACATGTTTGGCCCTCAGGTGTAAATTTGAGTTTTTCTTCCTGATGTCCATACTGCAAAGATCATGTAGACAGGTAACGTATGACGTTTGTTTAAGGAATCAAAATCTTTCAAACTGCAGTCAGCTTGTTGAAAATGAAAACACTCCTACACCAGAGTGACCTGGACAGACACAAACAGCCAGCGTGTTGTTTCTGTGCACCAGGAGGCAGATGACAATATATGTTGGGAGTTTTAAAGGAACGTGTGGTAGAAGAATATTAAAAGTGCCCAGTCCATCTTTAATCCATCTAACCATCCAAGAAGATACAATATACTCTGTTACATTTACTCATTTGTGTGTTAGGTGTGACCATAAAGTTTTCACTTGGAGAAAAATAAGATATCGATGGCTGATTGCCCTTCCAAGGTCATTCTGTGACATTTCCAGCCTCCAATAGATTCCTAGATTATTAACTAGCCTGCACATCTGCCTCTGGACTGTACTCTGGGCCTCCATCAGATCAGAAAAGGTCAAAAAAGCAAACTTTTAAGTTGAATTTCATTTTGGGATGGAGGGGGAAATCCAGTGAATGCAAGAAAACCCCAACACATTTCCTGCAGCTTCACTTTCTCTTTTTGTGAAACAGTCAAACTCCAGGCTGACAGTTTCACCCGGCGAGGAGCTTCACTGCACACAGCCTGGTGAAAGCGTCTCGCATCTATACTGCCTGGTGCAAGCTAGAGACCGAGCTATCGGCAGCATTTTTTATTATTCTCATTAATAAATACTTTTTATGCTGGAAAATCTATTTTTCACATCAGTGATTCCTGCAGAAAATAATTAGTTTTAGGCACATTTTAACATCTGATGATTGTATTTCAAAATAGGAGCATGACATAACAAACTCACATCAGCCACCCTGGTGGTGTAAAAAACAAGACTCGTACAAGAACCTGAAGAAAGTACAACAGAAACATTGTGTTGCTTCTCTTATCAGGCTGCAGTGAGACTTCTCACAGGACGGTCTGTAATCTCACAGGGTTTATAAAGTGTGTTCCTGCATAAACAGACGTTTGCAGGTACCAGAGGTAGAACGAATCGATGGTTTTGTTTAAGTGTAAGGGGGAAACATATATCTAGGGAGCGCTTGTTTTTCTGCTGTAGCTCAGAAGCGAAGCGATGAAAGCCGTTGTCAGGTTTGAACACTGCCCGGGCCGGGCGAGGGAGGGGACACAACGCTCACAGCGTCGTCTCTCTGAAGAAGAAGAAGATGTTATTCCCCACTGAAACATTTGTTGAATCAGACACTGTGTGAGTGCATATCTCTGTTAAGTCTTTCTACTAGTGGATAATGTGCAGAGCACAAAGCTTCAAATGAAATCACTGCACGCATTTCCTCTTTAAAATATGACAAGTCCAGAAATACGATGCTGTTAGTCCACATGGAAGCATCATTATTGTGTTGTGGAAGTCTGCCATGCCATATGTTCCTGCTTCTGTGAGCAACTTGAGGACTGTTTGTCTCTTTTCCACACGTTTCATTCTATACGCCGTCTGTCCTTCTCATCCAGGTGAGCCTGATGCACAACGGTTGGCCAGTGATTTCAGCATTTGCCGGGGACCAGGACGTGACGCGTGAGGCAGCTAGCAACGGTGTTCTGATCAACATGGAGAAGGGAGACCGGGCCTACCTCAAATTGGAGAGAGGAAACCTAATGGGAGGATGGAAATACTCCACCTTCTCAGGCTTCCTGGTGTTCCCCATGTAGAGAGGAAGAGGAGGAGGAGGTGCGGGGATGGAAACAAAGGAGGACGAGCTGGTGGAAGCTGGAAAGCAAAAGGAAGATGATGGAAAGGCAGGTGGAGGAAGAAGAAAAAGGACATGGTTAAGATGGAGGGAAACATGACAACAGACTTGTGTTTGGGACGCTGCAGAGGAAGGATGAGATGTTAGAGAGATATGAGCGTGATGTGATGTGAGAAAGTTAAGGAGCCGGCACATGAGAGTGCACGGTCAGCTTCTTCACTTTGCTTCTTCTTTTCATCCATCCTTTCATGCATCCTTCTCCTCCCTCTGTTTCCTTGTGGCTTGACTGCAGCTTTGGACAGCCAAAACCTTTTCTATACTCTGCTGACAGACGCAATCGATCACTGATACGGTCCAGAGTGTTCTGAAGCCCACGTGTAACCCTCCCTCCTGTCCCCACAGTCCCATCATTTCTCCATCGATCACCATCAGCATAAGCTTTGACCAATATTACTTGAGCAACTATTCCCCGCTAACCCCAGTTTCCTGTGCCCACATGTGTGTTTGTGTAATTCTCACGCTCGGCATAAACGCCACTGATTTTGGATCAGCTTCTTCCCCTGAAGCCAAACTACACTTTTAGAGTGTAAACAGTAAAGTCTGATCACAGAATCAGGGGCTAACCTTTTATTTAGCATCATAATCACGAGCCTTTTACAATAAATGTACCATTTGTTCTTCAAACACACATGTTTCTCCTCTTCGTTATTTAGCACGTAGCAGGATTCAGCTTTGTAATGGTTCAGCACTCGTAGCAGTGGGCTAGGGTTAGGAAAACATGGGTTAAACACTTTGCTGTGTGTGTTTAGGCAACAACATTTTTCTACAATAAAGTTTTTTGCTGGCAAAACCAGTCTACATTCATCCGAGTGCCCACTAAGACTCGTGGTCCATTAGTAGGCAGTCATTAAACTTGTATACAAAGTGCAACTGGGGAGAACAAAAGTCAGTAGGAGACAGGAGGAGATAACAGAGCAGTTTAATAAACCGTATCCACTCTCTAGTCTACTCAATACTCCTCCATCAATCTCTGGTGTCTATATCTACTGAACACTGATAGTCAAACAGAAAGTAAGACTTTGTTCCTTCACTGTTTTAATCACGACTCTGAATCAGGCTTCATCCTGTGCACCCGTCCTTCACCCGTACAGTCAGTCTGCTTCCTCCCTGCCACTGCTGCCATGTTTTTAGATATCGTATCCCCGTGTAGGATCCCTTCTCTCTTTAACTATGCTGTTTACCCACAAGTGCAGATTTGGCTTTTAGCACACCTCTGTTATCCATCCTCCCTTCCTCATGTGTGACTCTATCCGCTGCTGTACTCATTGGCCTCCTAGCACGGATCCTTTCCTGCTTTTCTTCAATGTGGACTGTGGACAATGAAACAACCTTCAACTTTACAAAATTATACATATATATGATGAGATACAAATGGATATATAAATATAATGAAATCTAAGCCACCGTTTCTATCCTCCTGGTTTTAAGATGAAAATAATGGTAATACTAATACTGAAAACGTAATCTGGTTGATGACTGCAGTATCTGTATTTCCGTACTTCAGTGTTATATAATGAAAAAATATTCTAAATGAAACTTAGTGATTGTGTGGAAATCCGAGCTGCCATTCTGCTCTTCTGATGAAAACATGCTTCTTGTTTTTGTTTTGGGTCAAACCAAGTTGTGGCTAAAAAGCTGAGACTACTACTTATATAAAATAAACTATAGCTAAAAGGTACTTTTATTATTATCATCATTATTATTTGACTGTAAATTACATGTGAATATTTAGACTATGACAATATTTGATTTATGAATCAATCAAATCGATTTATCTACTGTTTTCTTATTTATTTGCTCTGAAGAAATCAATAAAACTAAATGGTACTTTTATTTTTCTTAAACCTACTTTCAGCCTGAGCTCGTACTTTGTTCAGTCTCCACAAACAGCAGAAACTCGTTGATTGTGCTGACCTAACGGTTGTGTTCACTGTGTGTGTCCGTGTGCATGTGTGTGTCCGTGTGCATGTGTGTGTGTGCGTGTGTGTGTCTGTGTTCACTGTGTGTGTGCGTGCGTGTGTGTGTGTCTGGGTGCATCATGCGTGTGCTCAGTGGTGGTGATGGTGGTGGGTGGGTGGGTGTAGAGGGGATAGAGTGGGCATGTGTGTGTCCGTGTTCATGTGTGTGTGCATGTCTGTGTGCATGTGTGTGTCCGTGTGCATGTGTGTGTGCATGTGTGTGTCTGTGTGCATGTGTGTGTCCGTGTGCATGTGCGCGTGTGCATGTGTGCGCATGTGCGTGTGTTTTGGACCTCTGGAGCGTTTCCATGAGTCACCTTAAACACACACTGACTGAAATCTGCTGGATCGTGTTCTTCTACCTCTGTCCTCCTTTCTGTCTCCCCTGGTCCTTCACTCATTCCTCCTTTTCCATTTACTGCGTTTTTATGCTCATACACTCTCTCCCCCCACCCTGTCTCTCTCTCTCCCCCCACTCTGTCTCTCTTTCTCTCCCCACTCTGTTGATTTTTAAGGTTTTGTGGTTCGTTTCTCTCCAGACTCTAATGAGCTCCAGGGGGAAAATTAGTGCTGGAATAACAAGCAAACATCATCTCCCGTCTTCTTCCCGATCCCTCCTTCCTCCTGTTCTTCCTGCTTTCACTCTTCTTTTTCACCTGAAGTCATGTCCTCTGTTCATCGTTTGTTTTTCCAACACTCGATTCTCCGCTTTTCACATCTTTTCTTTAACTTTCTTCTGTTCTGTGCATCTGTCTCACTGTCTTTGTCTCCTTCTTTTCAAACCTTTTCTTCTACATCTTCTTTCCAAACTCTACTTGGCAAATGTTGTGGAATATAAAACACGAGTCTTTTGTTTCTGGACACACTTCCTTCGTTCTTCTCTCTGTTTCTCATTCACTCCCCACATTTAATAAAAAGGCAATGAGTGCTCGCAGGTTGACATGTGCAACTGCTTAGTTTAGGCTTGAGTCACACAGGTCAGTGAACCTCTGGTAACCACAGCATGCATATTTAATGAGTGGAGATATGTTGCAAATGGGTATACAGTGCTCCTCTGAAAACATCCCGGCAGTTTCTTTGGTTGCTCACAGTTGCACAGAAGATGCCAACTTGCTTGCAAATCCGAGCCAACTACAAGCTGAAAATTTCTTTTGCCTTCAAAGTAAAAGGCCAAACACAGGAGACCACCACATCCTGCTAGTGACCAAAGAAATCACACAGAGGTTTTTGGTGCAGCGCCTTCTTCGTGACTGATTTTACTGGTCATCAGCTCCTCTATATCTGCAGTCTATGCTAAGCCAACCATCTGCTGGGCCGATAATCAGCCGAAGGCCACGGGACAAGGTTGAATCATGGAGCTCTGAGAAAAAGTGAGCAGGCCAAGTGAATAAATGTTCAAATGGTGACGGCAGTCTCTCGAGAGGAGACAGACGATTATGTTTCTGAGTAAATATTTAAACCATAACAGGTCAAGAGAAACGTTCACAAATACAGCCCACGTGTGACCTTTTTGTTACAGTTGGGGTAAGCAATGTGTTTTCTGTAAGTCGTCTGTTAGGGAACTAGACTTCTGTAGGTCGTCTGTCCTCTGAAGTCTAGCTGGGAAACATTATCCAATCAGAGAACAGCTGCAAAGCAGAACAAAGACCACAGCAAATCATGCAAAAAGTAAGCTGCAGTGAAACACTGTGTTAAGGACTGAAAGAGCAGATTTTAAATTCTGCTGGGAATCAAAAATCATTCGCGACCTTTCAAAAGCTCCTATGCCTACAACTGGGCGTGGCTTAGAGAGGAGAGGGGCGGGGTGCAGGAAGTTTCACCCTGATGCAGCAGTCGATCACTCATCTGAAAGACGGAGCAACAACACAGAGAATTAACTGCATGTTCGTTCATGCTGACACTGTTTAAGGATCAAAAGTCTAAAACTTTGTTTTCATCAAAGAAAGTATCAGTCAGGAAAGTCAATCTCCAAAAGTTGATTCTGTTCGTCTGGACGCAGCGTTAAGTATAAATACTACAACTACAGTTTGACATTAGAATTTAAAACATGTAGTATCTGAATGTAGTACTCAGTATAATCCACAGTCAGGTTTGGTGTTGTTATTAAAGTAATGTATTACACATCACTCATTATGTTATTTATTAACTCACAGGAGAAGCAGTCAGTTACACTACACTCATTACATTACCTTCTTGTTACTCCATGAAATGACCTGAACCTGAAACCACAGCAACACAAATCCCTGATATAATGACACACAAATGCTCCTCTCTGCCTTTGTTACCTGTGTAGGGTTTCCCTGCTGGGCTGGGGTCTGCATGCACTCAGGGTTAACATTGCTCTGGATTCTTGGCGTGCTGACTGTGCAGATGACTGCAAAGAGCCCGTGGTGTGTTAGCAGTATAACGGGGTTGTTTCTGTCCTGGATGCAGTTGAAAATAAAAGTATTGTCCACATCTCTGCTGTAACCCACTCCACCATTTTCCTTCCTGCACATGAACTGAAATCAGCTGTGCTGCAAACATGCAGGAAGAAAAAGATCCAACCAGCGTGCAGCTCACTACATTTAGCGCTATAGCATGCTATGTTACTGCACTCCTAAAAATGTAATGTGATCACAACCAACACTGTTCACAGTCATAGTAATACCAGCTGTGACTGTAGCTTTGGAAACCCACTGCATAATTTTATTAAACATGTTTTGAGTGGTGACAATGTTGCAAAGCTCTCTTTTCCCCATGGATCGGTTAGCCTCTCTTTCCCCACGTCACTGTTATTTACTTTATTTTCTATAAGGCTAAATTAGTTTGGTCATTTCTTCTGTGGCACTCTGGCCTTTCACAGCACCTAAAGTCTGCAGGCCACGACTATTTCAAGTCTTCTCTTTCCTCCTGACAGCTGGTTAATGTGAACATCCAGATTCATGCAAATATCAACATTTTCATTTGCAGGGTACAAAGCTGATTTTTCTGCTGTTTTGTTGGTGACACATATACCCACAGCCCTGTGGCTGTGCCCGCTGTGGCTGGCTTTACTCGCTGAGTGTCGGCTTAATTTAGAACTGCAAACAAACACGTGCATCA